CGGTGCAAGTACTGCATTTACCTAAGTGACCATCTTGGCTACCTTCAGTACCATTATTAAGTGCCTGATGAACCAGGCCCTGTGCCCTTTATGGCACCATTGCTAATCCTCACTGCTTCCTTTTTGGAAAGTAATAGTGAAACACCCAGCATATTCGCATGCCTCCTCTACATCTAAAACGTTTCTGGGGAGTGTGTCTTTGCTTGTTTTCCGAGTGTTTCTTAAACTAAGAGGTCAGTCTTCTGCATTTCCATGCAATTTGAATTTATTTGCATTCAGCCCAGTTTGTAAGAAGCTGTGTTTCTTTTGTGGTTTCCTCTGCTTGGAATATGCAACCTCATCAGGTGAAGCTCCTATAAGAAGCTGCCAGCACTCGTCAGACCTGGATGTTCACCACAGACGTCTTTGCTCAATCTCTCTGCCTGTCCCCTTGGCTGGCAAGTCCCAACAACCCAGCTGTGTGTAGACCCACCTTTTGCCCCTTTAAGGACAAGAAATCTATCCCAGCATCCCACATGCAAGGCACATGCTAAATGCCCCCTGGAATGGTGATGGAGAGATCAAGTTGGTGTCCCTTAGTGCTGAGGGAAAGGAAAGCCCGAGGCTTCTGGGACACTGAGTTCCTTCTTGGTCGGGCTATGCCAGCTCCTCTAGATAATGCTGTCCCCAAGGTATTGCTTCACTCCTGGGAGTCAGGTATTCCATCTGACTCCCAGTTTCAGATGACAGCGCTTGAAATTATGGCTTTGTGATTATGGAAGTCTTGATTTTACCTCTTCTCTAAATGAGAATTCCACTGTCTTCCTCCTAGAGTTGATGTGGCACTAAATAAAATGAGAGAGCTCAAAAGAACTCTCATAATGAAGCCTCCCCTCAAATGAATGAGCTACCCCAAACAGGGAGGCCAATGGCATGTGTTAACTGCCTCAGTGTCCCCATCTGTAAATAGAGATGGTTATATTTCTCTCACAAGGTATTCTTGTGAAATACAAATAAAATATTCTACATAGAAGCTCCTACCCAGTAAATGAAGGTGATTAGTTCTCTATTGCTGACAATTGCTCAAGAGACCTCTGTTGTCACACCTAATACCATGAGATTTCTGAGCTAACACAGGAAAACAAATGGCTATTAAGTTCCAACTGAGTGCCAAGAACTAGGGATTAGAGACGAAGGTGAGAAACGAGACACCATGGTGTCTTTAGGAAGCTCACAGACCAGAAGAGGAAGACAAATTGATCCCTGTCATCAACAAATGATAGGACGTATGCAAAGCCGAGTGCAGGCGCGGGCAAGGGAGCCTGGCTGGTCTGGTAGGGGCTGGGGAAACTTCCCAAGGGAGACCCTTGCACTGGAGTGGTGGGCTTGAGCTTGTCAGGCAGAAGAGGGGGAGTTGGGGTTCCAAGTGTAGGGAAGAGAGTGACAAGGATCCCTGAGCAGGCAGTCACTTGGAGAGGTGAGGGAAAACTTGGTGACTTAGAACATAAGGCAATAGGTGAGGCTGGAGAAGAGGCAGAGTTTGGCTTTTGCTCCAAAATCACTGCTAGGATGACAAAATCTCTGCCTTCCTTGTTCCCTATTTGTCTAGTGTCTGGTTGCTGCCTCTCCAAGGGGAAAAAGTAAAGCAGGACCTGAAGGGGGCAGGAAGGCAGGAATAGAGGTAGATTTGGCATTCTGTACAGGGTAATCAGAGAAGTCATCTTTGATAAGGTAACATCTTAAGTAAGGGAGCAAGCCATGTGACTATCTGAGGGAAATTGTCCTAGGAAGAGGGAGGCAAAGTACTAAAATCCCAAAGTAGGATGCCTGGCCGGGCGTGGCTCAGTGGTTGAGCATCGACCTGGGATCCAGGATTTCGCGGTGTGATTCCCGGTCAGGGCTCATGCCCGGGCTGCAGACTCTATCCCCAGTAGGAGGCGTGCAGGAGGCAGCCGATCAATGACTCTCTCTCATCATTGATGTTTCTATCTCTCTCTCTCCCTCTCCCTTCCTCTCTCTGAAATCAATAAAGATACATTAAAAAGAAAAATCCCAAAGTAAGAATGTGCTTGCTGGATCCAAGAACAGGGGCCAGTGTGGCTGAAGTGAAGTGATATGGGGAAGTAAGAGAAGAGGTCAGCAGGGTGGTGGAGACCAGGTAACATTAGGGCTGTGGGCCATTGTAAGGATTTGGGTTTTTACTCTGTATGAGATGAGAATTCACCAGAGGGCTTTGAGCAAAGGAATCAATTGATTTTACTTGAGTTTTTAAAAGTTTACTTAAGTTGCTTGATGGAGAGGGGATGGTAAGGATGAGGGTGGAGTCAGGGAGGCCAGTTAAGAGGCTACTGAAATTATCCAAATGAGAGGTGACTTGGGTCATACTGGAAGCAGTGGTAAGAAGCACTGGGTTATGATATAATTTGAAGGTAAACCAACATGATTTACTAACTGATTGCGTGCAGGGCATGAGAGGAAGTAAGGAACCAAGGGTGACCCCGAGGTGTTTTTGCCTGAGCAACTGGAATTGTCCTTGTCTGAGATGGTGATCAGGAGGAACACATTGGAGGGACAGGACATGTTAAGTTTGGGATGTCCAATTGAGAGGTCAAATTGTAAACTGGAGATGGAAGTTTGGAGTTTGAAGTAGAGGTCTGGGCTGGTAGAGATCTAACTTTAAGAGTCATTTAGTCCTTGAGACTGGATGAGGTTAGCTAGGAGTGATAGAGGAAAGGTCCAAGGCCTGAACCTTGGAATACTCCAAAGTTTAGGGTCAGAAAAACGTAAGAAGGAGCAGCAGTGAGGTCAGAGGAGATCCAAGGGGAGTGAATGTCCAACCAGGAGTGTGTCTGGAGGGTGGAGTGAGCTACTTCCTCAAAGGATGCTACAGATGGGTCAAACAAGATGGGTCTGAGACTTACCCATTAGATTTGGCAACTGGAGGTCCTCAGGGGTCTTGACATGAGCTGCTTCAGTGGAGTGAGGTCACAGAGTCAATGAGCGTGAGCTCCAAAAAGAAAGGGAGGAAAGAAATTGATGACCGTAATTGGAAACTTCTTAAAGATTTCTAACAGGGGCAGAGAAATGGAGCAATGTCTGAAGCAGGGTGAGAGGTAAAGGAAGAGACACTTGTTGTCTCTTTGCTTCTCCATCCTGTTATTTATTAGGTCAGCCATGGTTGAGGTTCTGCCAGGCAAGTACAATGGAGGGAGCTGGGGTGAATGAAAGGAAGTTCTGTAATGATGAGCTGTGAAATCTAAGTTGAGGCAATGAAGGGGAACATTATTAGTGAAAACATACTTGTGTCATAGATTGTAGGTCTCAATTGGAAGAAGAATTTTGAGGCTGTGAAAGAGAGGGAAAAAAATACAAGCTCTGAAAGATATGGCATAGTGGTTGGGGGGTGCGGGGAGATTAGAAACTGAGATAATTGAGGGCTGCAGTCAGTAATAGTGACAGATTCCAGATTATGACCAGGGGAGGGAGTAGAGGTGACAAGGTAATTGGTGGAAAGTAGGTCATAGAACTGAGAGGCTGGGTGCCATAAACTGAATGTTTGTGTTTCCCAAAACTCATGTGGTGAAACACAACCCCCAATGTGATAGTATTTGGAGGTGGGGCTTTTGGTCTTGAGGGTTGAGGTGTCATAAATGAGATTAGTGTCCTTACGTAAGAGAGTCCAGATAGTTGTCTGGGGGGCAGTATTTTCTGAACTCGCAGGTGATGCTGACATTGGAAATTTTAACTCAAACCACAATTATCTGTTAGCATAACATTAGGACAGTTTTTCTCTGCATTTACCCAGAAGGTATATATTTGTCCTCTCCAGAGCTTGAATTTTCCAATGACCTTTAAAAGCCTTGTTTACTAGTACATGCAGCTCTTCACTGTGTTATGTCCCTAGGAAGACTTACTAAGTCTGTATTCAAATTTCTTTGCCTATTTTTTTTCACCAGTGTCATCAGATGACCTTTATAAACAAAGTAGCACTGAGGTCATTTCAGGCTTAAGGCATCTTCTCCAGACAGCTGTGATTAGTTAAAAACAAGGAGAAAAGAAGGAGAAATGGAAGGAAAAAGGAAGGGAAGGAGGGAGGAAGAAAGAATGAGAGAGGAAGGGAGGGAGGAATGAAGGAGGGGGCAGGAAGGAGGAAGGAAGCAAGCACGTGAGCAAGGAGGTGAAGGATCCTAATGTAAGACTGCTTGGGATTGGTCTTTTCTGAAGGCTAATTTTCAGGAAAATTCTCTTCCTTTTTATTCAGCCATCTCCGGTGCTCATCTTTGTAGCCCCAGTATCTAGAACAGTGCCAATAAATGTTTGTGGAATGAATTAACTGATTGTTTTTGCCTCCTAGTCCTAGCAAAGATTTCTCCACAGTCCTAAGGACCTTGGGCTTCTGGTCTTAATTAATATCGTCCTTCC